GCGGGCGGAGTCCCGCCGTCTGCCACTCGACGTCAGAGGGACCCTTCGCCGGAAGGACCTTTGGTGCGGGCCCAGCGGGGCCCCCCCCGGACGCTGAACGCGAAGCGGCAGCAGCGACGTACGCGCCCGGGTTTGGCCGCCCCGCGTCCTCCATTGAGTCGCGCACCAAACTCTCGAGTAGGGGATCGACTACAGCACTGATGTACCCCAGCATTGGTTTTCCCGCCGAGTCATACATACAAAAAGGTTCGTAGGTCTAGGAGCATTCTACGCATCAGTCATGGACTCGACGAGTCAATTCGTTCCTGGGGCACATCGATTCTGTAGCCGATCCCCGACTCGGAGTGGCGCATGGCCGATTTCTCCTGCTGGGCGTTCCGTTCGGGCGGCCTGCTCTGCGGGGAGCGGGGCGGCTCCCGGCGAGTGGGGGCTCCTCTCCGCGAGGGCCGCCCTCGCGGAGAGGAGAAGAGGGGTCGTGCCCGGTTGCCCTCGGGAGCCACGGGTCGCGGTTGCCGCCAGCCTCGGGGACTTGGATGCTGGAGGCCTCTGACGGCCCACTCCTGCCCGGAGCTGTCTCGGAGGGTCCCAGGCGGGATCTGGGCAGACAGGGCCGCCCTCGCACGGCTAGCCCGAGGGGGAGTCCTGAACTGCTCGTCTGGGAGGGCTGTGGCCCCTTCCCTTTGGCGACGGAGCTTGGGAGTACCCTTCCCGCGACGCCGAGCGTGCTGGCGGCGGGGGCCAGGCCGGCAGGGGCCGTCCGCCGTCCCGGGGGAGGCCCGCGCGAGCCTCGGGGCGGTCGCGGCCGACGTCTCGGGCAGGGAGTTCTGCGAGCGGGGAGTGGGCAGAGCGAGCGACTCTCGGCGTTCTGCGTTTCGCCCCCCCCCCCCCCCCCTCCCCCCCTGCTGCGTGGGGGGCAAAAGATGCGAGGGCTCTTGGAAGCCAAGGAGAGCTCCAGAAACTCAATCGCGAGATGGTCATTGCCCGCTGTGCCGATGCTTCGGCTATCGCGGTTCTCTCTTTGCCTTTCTTTCTTTATTTCTTTCTTTCTTTCTTTTTTTGTTTTCTCTCTCTCTCTCTCTCTCTCTTGTACGGGGAGGAGGCAGGCAGCGCGGAGAGGGCACGGGCGATGGGGATGCCGGGCCTCATGGAAGTCGAGCCGAGGTGGGCTCGAGCATGTGGAGTCCTCGAAGGGCGCCTCACTCGCACTTCAGCTCGCTTGGGTCATTCGGGGGTCTCCTGCGCCCGCCAGCGCGGCCGCGTCAAATCTCATTCTGCTCGTTCCAGATGTGCGATTTGCGGAGGCGCGACGCTTTATGCTGACACCTGCGCACGTCAAGCTGCAACGATTTGAGCAAGTCAATCGCGAGATGATTGCCCGCTGCGCCGACGCCTCGGTCATCGCGCCTCTCCCTCGCGCAAGTTGATTTATCCGAGCGCGGCACGGGCCGCGGGTCTTGGAGAGCCGTTTGGGCCGCCCGTTGCGTCAGGGGTCGAGCACGTTTGGGCTTCTGGCGTCAGAAGCGAGGGCTCCGACCAGACTTAGGTGCTGCGGTGTATTCGATTCAATCCTCCTCCTCCTCCTCCTCCTCCTCCTCCTCCTCCTCCTCCTCCTCCTCCTCCTCCTCCCTCCCTCCCTCCCTCCCTCCCTCCCTCCCTCCCTCCCTCCCTCTGTTGCCGCGGTCCGTCTCGACCCTGGCCGCAGTCGACACTCTGGGGCATCGCCGTTTACGAGGAAACGTGAGCATGAGCAGTGGGATGGGGAAGAAGAGGAGCAGGAGATTGGAGGGGGAGGGAGATGATGATGATGATGATGATGATGATGATGATGAGGATGCTGATGATGATGATGATGATGATGGCGATGACGATGATGATGATGATGATGGCGATGACGATGATGATGATGATGATGCTGGTGATGATGATGATGATGAGGATGCTGATGATGGTGACGATGACGATGATGATGATGATGATGATGTTGATGCTGATGCTGATGATGATGATGATGATGTTGATGCTGATGCTGATGATGATGATGATGTTGATGCTGATGCTGCTGATGATGATGATGATGCTTCATGGTGATGCTGGTGATAATGATGACGATGACGACGATGACGATGATGACGATGCTACTGATGATGATGACGATGATGATGATGCTGATGGTGATGATGGTGATGGTGGCGGTGATGATGATGATGATGATGATGATGATGATGATGACGATTACGATGACGATGATGACGATGCTGCTGATGATGATGATGCTGATGATGATGATGGCGATGACGATGATGATGATGATGCTGATGATGATGATGATGAGGATGCTGATGATGGTGACGATGACGATGATGCTGATGATGATGATGATGTTGATGCTGATGATGATGATGATGATGATGATGATGATGTTGATGCTGATGCTGCTGATGATGATGATGATGATGATGCTTCATGGTGATGCTGATGATAATGATGACGATGACGACGATGACGACGATGACGATGCTGCTGATGATGATGACGATGATGATGATGCTGCTGATGATGATGATGATGATGATGGTGATGGTGGCGGTGATGATGATGATGATGAGGATGCTGATGATGGTGACGATTACGATGATGATGATGCTGATGATGATGATGATGAGGATGGCGATGACGATGATGATGATGATGATGATGCTGCTGTCGATGATGATGATGATGATGAGGATGCTGATGATGGTGACGATGACGATGATGATGATGATTATGATGATGATGATGTTGATGCTGATGCTGATGATGATGATGATGATGATGTTGATGCTGATGATGATGATGATGATGTTGATGCTGATGCTGCTGATGATGATGCTTCATGGTGATGCTGATGATAATGATGACGATGACGACGATGACGATGATGACGATGCTGCTGATGATGATGACGATGATGATGATGCTGATGATGATGATGGTGATGGTGGCGGTGATGATGATGATGATGATGACGATTACGATGACGATGATGACGATGCTGCTGATGATGATGATGTTGATGATGATGATGCTGATGATGATGATGGCGATGACGATGATGATGATGATGAGGATGCTGATGATGCTGATGATGATGATGAGGATGCTGATGATGGTGACGATTACGATGATGATGATGATGATGATGATGTTGATGCTGATGATGATGATGATGATGGAGATGATGATGATGTTGATGCTGATGCTGCTGATGATGATGATGCTTCATGGTGATGCTGATGATAATGATGACGATGACGACGATGACGATGATGACGATGCTGCTGATGATGATGACGATGATGATGATGCTGCTGATGATGATGATGATGGTGATGGTGGCGGTGATGATGATGATGAGGATGCTGATGATGGTGACGATGACGATGATGATGATGATGATGACGATGTTGATGCTTGATGGTGATGCTGATGATAAAGATGACGATGACGACGATGACGATGATGACGATGCTGCTGGTGATGATGATGATGCTGCTGCTGCCGATGATGATGATGATGATGATGATGATGATGATGATGATGATGATGATGATGATGATGATGATGATGATGATGATGATGATGGTGGTGGTGGTGATGGTGATGGTGATGGTGGCGGTGTTGGTGGAGATGATGATGAGGATGATGCTGATGATGATGCTGATGATGATGAGGAGGAGGAGGAGGAGGATGAGGAGGAGGATGAGGAGGAGGACGATGACGACGACTACGGTGCAGGAAAGGAGGACCAGACGGAGGAGGAAAAGGGAGCAGGGGAACCGGATGAGAAAGAAGAGCAGCGTGTGGAGAAGGAGGAGGAGGAGGAGGAGGCGGAGGGGAAGAACAAGGGAGTGATGGGGTGATACAGGATGGGGGACAGGGGAGAAGGGAGGAACGAGGAGGAGGGAGGGACGGGGTAAGGGGCAGGGAGCAGAGAGGGTGGAGAAATGGGAAGGAGGAGGACTCTCATGGCTCTCATGGCGCGAATGCGTTGTTTCGAATACGGCTCTCATGGCCCCTTTCTCGGTTTGTCCGACTCCTCCTCTCCCCTTCTCGTCTTCCACTTTTTCCTATTCCCTCCCCCCCCGATTCCTCCTGCCTCCATCCCTCCCCCCCCCCCACCCCTTTTTCTCCCTCCCTCCCTCCCTCCCTCATACCCTCCTCCACTATCCCTCCTCTCCTGCCCCTTCCTCCTTCCCCGCCCTTCCTCCTCGAAGGGGTGCCGATGGACGTTCGAGTGCGCTTGGCAGCTTGACTCAGTCCCAGCACCGCAGGCCCAGGGCGGCACGGGTTGTGGGGAGAGGGGGCTCTGCTGGGGGTCCCTTGCCCCCCGCCTCGGTCCCCGAGCCTGGCGCACTGGGAATGGTCAGGCCTCGTGGAGGCCGACCTCCCCTCGGTGAGATCCCTGGCTGGGAGCCTCCCTGTGAAAGACTCGGAGGCTTCGGAGGCAGACGACAGCGCCTCAGACTCCGTGGCAGATGCGGGCTTGGGCACGGCCAGGCTGGCTTTTGGCCGATACCTTGCGTTGCCCTTCCCTTTTCTTCCTCATCCTTCCCTGAGATCCGACGTCGCGAAAGAAGACAGCATCGTCACAGTTCACGACCGGATCCGCAGACCCCATCTTCCTGCGGCATCCTCCGAGACTGGAGCCCGAAACCGGGCGAACGCGCCCGGCGTGCCCAAGAACCGCAGCGCCTGGATCTCTCGAGGGCCTCCTCCTCCTCCCCCGCCCCGCCTCCCCACAGCCACCCCCGCACCCCGACGTCATGATTTTTTCATTACGTCGACCCCTGGAGGTCTCGACCCATTCCCCTGGACCGGTTTTTCACCCTGAGTCGTTTTTTCACGGTCCCGAGGGCCGGTAAGGGCCCCCAGAGGCCGAAAATAACCAAAAACCTCCCGTCATGATTTTTTCATTACCCGAGGGGGTCTGGGACCACCGCACCCCCGGCGCCTCCGAGGTAGAGGTCGCCGTCCACCGGCGGGGCGTGTCGGACGCCGCGCTGTCGCTGGGCGACGCCCACCTGCCCGCGGGCCTCCTCACGGGCGGCGGTGCCCGGGCCACGCCGGCGTGCGGGACGCTGGACGTGCACGAGACCGACTGGATCAGGAGCGCGGAAGCGGAGGGAGCGAGGGGGCCGAGGCAGAGACGACGACGACGACGACGACGACGACGGCGACGACGACGGCGACGACGACGACGGCGACGACAACGACGACGACGACGGCCACGACGGCGACGACGACGACGACGACGACGACGACGACGACGACGACGACGACGACGACGACGACGGCCACGACGGCGACGGCGACGACGACGACGACGACGACGACGCTGCGCGGCGGCGTCCCGCGGGCGCCGCGGCCCGCCGGCCGCCCGTGCGCGCGGGGGCCGCCGCTCGCGGTCGGGACTGTGGGCTCAGCGTGTCGCTCCGCTGGCGCCTGCCCACCGAGCATCGAGAGCGGGAGAACCCCTGGCCCTGAGAACATCGGGCCGGGCGAAAGGGGGGGATTGGGAAAGGGGGGGTTACGAAATTTGCTGCATGCAGCTGGTTTCGGCCTCCCCGAGGGGCCCATTCCTCGATACATGGGCGCCTCCTGGCGCCGGGAGGCGCCGGGAAAATCAGCTACGCGAGCTGATTCTCAACCCCCCCCCTTTGCTATCCCCCCCTTTCGCCCGACCCGAGAGCACAGTGAAGACGTGGCATCACTGAGGTCCCCGTCTTTGCATTGGGGATACGACTTCTGGGCGGTGTGGGTTCGATACGCCTGCAGAGCAGAGCCCCTCTCCCTGGTGTTCTGGCCCCTGCTAACTAATTCGGGTCCCCTCCCAAAGTGTTTGGTTGCTCACACCAAGCTTCGGCGCGACACGCTACCGCTACCCACGTCCCCATTCAAAGGCGTCAACATCCCGAGCCTTTCCCAGCCTCCCCGCCAAGCCCCGCGCGGAGCGACACGCTATCCGCTCGCATGGCGGGGCGTGTCGCCGGGGGCGCCGCCGCGACACGCTGAGGCAAGAGTCCCCGACCGTAGGACTATCGACTAGGTGTCAGAGTGGCCTTTCGCCGGAGTGACCTTTGGTGCGGGCCCGAGGGGGGGCCCCCGGTCACCGAACGCCAGGCGGCAGCAGCGGCTTGCTTGCGCGCCCAGGGTTGCCCACCCCGCGCCCCCCGTGAAGTCGGGCACCAACTGCCACGCTCGCCTGGGGTCACTCTTTCGTGCAGCTGAGAGTACAGCTGGCACGTCGGATGGGAAAACTTGCCTGCCAGCAGGTGGCCCGCGGAGGTGTCGTGTCCCCCGAGGAGGCCCCAGGGGCCCGCAGAGCCTCGGGGGCACCCTCGAGCCGACCAAGAGATCGACGAAGAGTCTGCGTCCGCTCGAGTCTGCCAGATCCATCGGGCCCGCGGGCCCCGCCCACCCCCACCCCTCCCTTGAGCAGCAGAGATGCCCATGCCAGCACAACTCAGCATGTGTCGGCGAGCGAGCGAGGGGGGGTAAGTGAGAAGGAGAAGGCCTTCTCAGAAGGTTCGGAAGGCCCGCGGCCTTTGAGAAGCTTCCAGAGCCTTCCCAAAAGACAGACGACAACTTATCAGAAGGCGCGAGGGCTTCTGAGAAGTCCCGCCACCTTCTGAGAAGGCCTTCTCCTTCTCACTTTCCCCCCCTCGCTCGCCGCCGAATTTTGGGCCTTGAGAAACACGGTCCCACCCGGCGAGCGGAAGGCGCTCGCGGCGCGCAGTTCCGCTTCCGACGGCCCAGCGGCGGGGAACACCCAGGCGGGCCGCGGCTTCGCGGGAGCGCAAAGCTTCCGGCATTCGGTGCGCGGCGGCGCGGCGAGAGCACCACTCGGCGAGGAACGCGGCGCCAACGAGGCATGCGCCGTGCCGGACAGCACTGCCCCGTTCACGCGCAAGCTGCGCGGCGTTCTTCGGGTACGGGCAGCAGCTTGCCCGCGCTCGCGCGGCCCTTTGCCGCTGCAGCTTTCACACGACGCGGGGACCGACAAGAGCATGCGTCGCCCCCACGCGGGAGTGCCACTTCCAGGCGAAATCTGCGCAGAGTTTTGCAAAAGGGGGACAAAGTACCCCGTTCGAGCGCGGGCCTGGCCCCCGACGAGTTCGCGAGTACAAAAACTATGCGCCGCGCCAAGGTGGGAGCGCCTTTGAGGCAAACTCTGCGGGGCGCCCAGGCGAGAGCGACATTTCCGTCCACTCGCGCGTCGACCGATTTTGTCAGGCGAAGAATGTGCGCCGCGCACAGAGAATGGAATTCAGCTCGGACGTAACATGTGCTCGGCGATGGGGGGAGAGAGAGAACCATGTCGCGCGCGAGGTGCGCCCCGTGCCACTCCCAGCGTCGACGCCCAAAACGTCCATGCTGAAAGGCAGCGTCCGGCTGGTGACTTATGTTTGGACTCCCCGGTCCTATTCGCTGTCGATCGGCGATGTGTCAAGGGAGGACAAGCCACCCGGACCCGATAAGTGGCGTTTATTAAGCGGCCGTGGGCGTTTGCTAAACAGCCCTGCCCTGTTCGATTATTCGACTCCTTCTTTGGGTGCATCCACTAAACGGCTTCGCGTGTCGGGGTGATTCTAATGAAGGTGGATGTTCTGCTGTTTCCTTTGGCGGCAATGAGCTTCATTTTTTGTTTTAAGAGGGCAGGAGGAGTGAGGAGGAGGAGGAGGAGGAGGAGGAGGAGGAGGCGCAGTAGGAGTAAATACTGACAGAGAACAGTGGAGGCATGCGATGGACCCCCCGGCCATCGACGCATCACGCGGGGTCCAGTAATAGGATCTGAGGGTAGATCTTGTCATCGTCACACCCCACCACATTTTCGTCGTCGTCGTCGGTCGTCGTCGTTTGTTCTCGCCGTCCTCGTCGGTCGTGGTCGGGTGTCGTCGTCGGTCGTCTGTCGTCGGTCGTCGTCGTCGTCGGTCGTCGGTGGTCGGTCGTCGGTCAACAGTGGTCGGCCGTGGGCCGTTCATCGTCGGTCGTCGGTCGTTCGGCCGGTCGGTCGATCGTCGGTAATCGGTCGTCGTCGTCCGTCGTCCACGGCGACTGCCGTGCGCAACATCCCCCCTCTTCCACCCCCCCTGAGGCGTCCGCGGTGCGTCGTCGGTCGTCCGTCGTCGCCCCGCCGCCGTCGTCGTCGACCATGCCAAGCCTGCGCCCCTCCCCCCCATGGGGCATCTGTGGGTATCTGCAGTGCGTGTTGTCGCCGCCCTCGCCGGGAGCAGGGAGGAGGGAGGCGGAGCCCCAGGAGCAATCCTTACTCGTGGGCGCCCGTCGACTCGGGGCTGAACGCGTACGTCAGCCCCGATGCGACCGTGAAGGTGTTGGAGATGTCGCTTTGTGATGAGCAGCTGTCCTTCTCGAGCCTCCCGGCTGCTGTGGAGATCACACTCCCACTGGAGACAGCCGCGGCCTCGGATTGGGAGTGGGCGGGCAGGAAGAACACGGGCACCACAACAGTGCCAGATGGTGTGCAAAGACGTCCAGAGCCCGATCGGTTCTGCGAGGTTGTTGCCCAACAGCGGAGGAGCCCATCCTTCTACGAAAGCCAGTTCACAAGCAAAGTAGCCAACACTTGCCCCTGACCAACTTTCACCTGCCAATCCGTTCAGCACTATTAACAAAAACACTTGCTTTCAGAAGTAGCAGTTGTGAAATTCCTCTGGCGAGGTGCCGAAGGCCTGCGCCGTCCATGCTCGGAGAATGTATTGACTTGCCCTGGTCTTGATCCGAACTCTGATGCTAGGTCTGATCGTTTTTGAGTTGGGGGCGCTTGAACGGTCGGCAGCCCCAAACTTCCTGGCGGATTTGCTTTCAGGAGGAGGAGGAGGAGGAGGAGGCGGAGGCGGAGGGAGGAGAAGTAGGACGGAGGAGGAGGATGAGTCTGAGGGATGAGAAAGAGGGGGGAGAAAGTGGGAGGAGGAGGAGGAGGAAGAGGAGGAAGAGGAGGAGGAGGAGGAGGAGGAGGAGGAGGAGGAGGAGGGGAGGAGGAGGAGGAGGAGGAGGAGGGAGGAGGAGGGAGGAGGAGGGAGGAGGTGGAGGAGGGACCATTGTAAACACAAAACGCCACAACGATATTGTAATGAACCCTCCCTCCAAGTTCCCTCCTCGTAAATCCCTACCCGAGTTCATGTTCATTGTAGGAAGTGGCATTTTGCAAAACAACCGTCTGACCCAGACCCCCGACGTCATGATGTTTTCACATCGTCGACCCCCAGAGATGGACCTCTTCCCAGGGACCGGCTTTTCATCCTGAGTCGTTTTTTGATGGCTCCTAGGCCAGACAAGGGCAAGGTCCCCCGAAGGCCGAAAGATCTCCCGTCGCGATCTGTGTCGCAACGCGAGGGGGTCTGGGGAGGAGGAGGAGGAGGAGGAGGAGGAGGAGCAGCAGCAGCAGCAGGAGCAGGAGCAGGAGGGAGGAGGAGCAGGAGGGAGGAGGAGAAGGAGAAAAAGGAGGCAGAGCCGCGCAACACTGCTGCTTCTGCCTTGCCGTCAGAGGTCGCCCCGTCGGCCTGGGCAGGCCCGTGCGGACTTACCGAATCGCGGTTCGGTGAGCGCCGCTATGCGCCTCGAATCAGGAGGGAAAAAAACACACAGACACAATTAATCTTCGATTCCCAGGAAAATATGGGAAAATATAGGAATTGGGGGGGAAGACAAAAACCCAGAAAATATAGGAAAATATGGGGACTATTTTTATTTGTGTGTATTTATTTGTGTGTCCTAATTTCCCTTTATCGAAGCATGTCGACGTCTAGAATGACCGGGGTGTCGGCATATTGCCCCATGTGCGTGATATTCAGAGGACGAGTAAGTACCCACAGGCCTGTCCTGGACCTCCCTCCTCCCTCCTCTCTCCCGCCCTCCCTCTCCTGTCCTTCGCCCTCCCTCCCTCCTCCCTCTCCTGTCCTCTCGCCCTCCTCCCTCCCCTGCCCTTCGCCCGTCCTCCCCTGTCCTGGGCCTCCCCGGAGGCCCTCGTCGCCACTGCTGGCTTCGCCTCGGAATTCTGGGCAGACGCACCCCCGGAGAGGTCCGGGGAGGAGCGGTACCGTTACCTGCTGGTTCCCCCAACAATAATTGCATGTCGGCATACATCAAGAGA